ATCTTGAAATCCGCTTTCTCACTTTCTCCACACATTAGTGGAAGTTTATGTGCTAATTATTCACTTAATGAATCGCTATAAACAGCTAATGAAGTGATGCGTTTTCAACGAAGTGCGTTTTACATAATGCGATTTGCATTTATAATAGCTTTTATTGAGGAAATTGATTTGTGTCGAAATATTAATACTTTATGTGTCTCTAATTGACATTTATACCGTTTACAATTACTTAATTAGTCACAAATGTCGGAAAGAGGGCAAATTGCAATACGCTCCCAGCGGATGGTGATTAATGAAGGCGGACATTTGTCGTTCAAATCACCACAAGGATGATTTTGATTGTTATTTTCTTATATTTATTTTTTACAACTCAGATGTTTGCACAAATGATAGACAGTTTAAAATAAGTATATATTTATATATGGTACAAAACTTTTTGGTATTCCGAAAAATATTCATATAAAAACACTATTCAATACTATTGTAGTAAATGTACAATAATGCAAATTCGGTAGTAAGATCATATATAATATATGTTTATATCGTCAGCTGAAATGCAAAATAACATATCATCAAAAATTCGTAATTGGTTTTCTTATTGATTACAATTCATTATTACATAAGTGTCAGAAATTTTAGGCTTCTGTGACCCAAAATACCCAAGTTATATTAAAAGTGCAAAAAAAAATTTCAACAAGTGCATGGCTTCGTTAAACAAAATAACGTATCATCACTCATGTAAAAATAAGAGAGTATTTTTTTGTTTTTATAACATAGTTAGTCTTGATTAATTATTATGTTTATTTCTATTGGTTATGCGCAATGTGCTTTGGTGATATAAAGTAATTGATTTTTATACTGAAAGTTATAAAACAGGGAAAAAAAGAAAAGTGTCGCGAAATAATTAAAGATTCTGAAAATAATAAAGAAAGTTTGCAAAGTTGTAAAAAAATTGACAAAAGGGAAGAAAATATAAAAAATCGAGTGTATGGTAAAAAATATGACAGCTTAGCAAAAGGAAACCACGAGAAATAAAAGCAGCATGCACATCTATTTATTGTGTGAAAATTGCAACTCGGCATTGTTCTCTTTATTCGGAAAATGTGCGGAAGGAGATAATTGAAAATTTTTGGCAAATGTCATGGGACCAAAAGAAAGTTTATTGAAGTTCATGCTGAAAAGCGGATTCACGACGTTCACATTCAATATCCTATTTTTTGCATCGTAAATAATTTTTGGTATTTCGGCAACTAGGGTAGGAAGTTGTTTGAGTTCCAGTGAACTTTATAGCACTCAATTTGGTCCTGAAAAWAAAAAAATTTTACAAGTGGAAAATCGAAGAAACACAAAGCGGGAAAGCCCCATCAAGATAAATTTAATTATTTAATTAAATGGTTGGAAGACATTCTGAAACTAGAATCCGTATACAAATAAATTTTATTTTCAATAAGAACTTAAATCGTACACAAATGTCTATGAAGTTTATTCTCGAGACTGTAAATCGCATAATGCAAATGGTATCGCTCCTATATATTTCCTAAATTTTATGAAATTTCTAAATAAAAATAATTTATCGATTTCTAAACCAAGAAGTGATATGTGTGACACTTGCATATCGTTCGAATCAAAAAATATCTCAGTGGAACAATATGATGTCCACAAAAAAGATATAAGAGAAATGAGAAATGAGAAAAGAAAAAAAAAAAAAAAAGAAAATGACATTGAAAGTGGTAAGGAGGGCTTATGCTCCTTATTATTATATGTATGTACATACATACCAGCGGTGAAGCTTATTCCGCAGTCAAAGGCAAATGCTTCTTATTACAAAATGAAACATCAAGTTCATAATTTTACTTTGTATAACACATTACTCATATATCTGACAACTTTGTCTGGGATGAAACTGAAGGCAGTCTTGTTGCTTCGACTTTCGCAACAATTACAATAAAGCGCATAAAGAAAGAAATACTTAATACGCCAAACATCCATCACTTTATTATATATTCTGATGGTCGTTTTACCAAAATCGGAATGCAGTATTATGCAATGCCTTAATATCGTTTTGTGTAGTAAACCACATTACCATTGAGCATAAGTATTTAGTCGTAGGGCATACACAAATGGAATGTGACTCTACTCACTCACTAATAGACCGCAAAATGAATAATATACAAATTAATTTGCCCTCCCAAGATGAACTAATGAAAGATGCACGAAAAAATCCATATTCACTTTCTAATAGCCTAATCTAGAGAGGCGTGTTAGCTTTAAGAAATCGGTTTTTGATTGAAGCTGCTTCTTAAATTCATAGATAATGAATACTGATTTCAAAACCGTATTTTTCTTGAACTACTCGACTTATTTTATGGTTACTCGATGTTTTTTGAGTGTTTCGGCATACCAAACAGAAACTAAAATAAAGTACCGTAAACTATTATGATCAAAAATATTAATTATTTCATAATGAATGGAATATGAAGGATCAGGAACGATATTTCTGTTAATCATAAGCCAATTTTATAAAAACACAAGTATATGAATTTTCTTGCGAAGTCGTTACACTATGTCATATAGTACAATAAAATTGATTTTTTGGACAAAACCAATTTTTTTAACTGATTGATTTTTAAGAGAAAACTAATAGTCGCCTGAAAAAATCAATTTAATAGTAGCAAATCAAATCAATTAATAATATAAGTGTTTCAGTCTTATAAAGTTATAATTAACGAAGCGAAAACATAGCACTGAGAATTGTATGTAATTGCGTAATCTCATTTTTGTTAACAAGTGTAAAAATTTTTGATTTTGTGACGCGTTATGACAAGTTGTGAGTACTCTAATAATGTAAGTACTAAATATATGGAGATCATCTTTTGTCCTCTGATTTCAATGGCATGTATCTTCGGTCGAGCATCTGTGACAGAAACGTTAAGGTTTCTAATCAAATGTTCAAAATAAAAATTTTATATTTGAAAGATAAACACTGGCTTAACTTTAAAATCAGTTTAGTAGTGAAAGAGAATGCTATTTCAAACTATATGGGTTCAAAATGAACTGCGGAGTAGGGACAGGGGTATACTCAGAAAATCTTGATATCTTACTCTTCATCCGTCCACCAAACTAAGCTAGCATCTTCTAAGCGGAAGTACTGCGTTTGGAGAAAACCTGTGGAGTTCTTATTAATAACTAATTGGAGTAAACAGAGATCTACTACATACACAGATAGCCTTGGCGTCGCCAAAATGAAACTTCAGCGTGGTCAAAAAATGTCAGAAGACTTTAAACTTACTAGCAGGTGAACTCGACACTGCTATAATTTGGATTCTCGGTAGCAATAAGATTTTTGACATTGAAAAAGGATTCGAGTTAGCCAAGTCAGGAACCTCTGTAAACGACTTGGAGGCAGAGATGATACCCTACTTGCTAGGAACTATCAGGAGAAAACCCAAATAGACCAAATTGCTAAGATGGAAATATTGTTTGTCAAAAAAGTCTTGCGTTATTTTCGCTAGTTGGCGGTGAGACCTTTTGGAAAGCTCATCTCACTCGCTAACACGTGTTTAATTGATTGTCGATTCTTTTAAGTCATTCGTGAGTTATAGCGTCGCAACCATGGAGCAAAATAAAGAGAAAATACGGCACATTTTACGGTAGTACTACGATAAAGGCAAAAATGCATCTCAAGCCGGCAAGAAAATGTGTGCAGTTTATGAAACCGCTACAGTTTCGCTGAATTGGTCGAAAGAGACCGGCATAGTAGCAGCCGTAGCATCGGTCAAGAGCTGGGCATCAGTCATCAAAAAAAATTTTATGAATAATTGAAAATTCAATAAAAATACCGCAAGACTTTTTTGACCATCTAATAAATAGTATCAAACTGCAAGATAGCGAAGCAGATATAGCCAAAGTATGTGAAGGCAAGAACTAAGAGTCTACAAAAATAATTTATTACAATACCTCACACAAAGGACATGTTGTATATATGCAACAGGGAAATGAAATTTAACCCATTTTATTTCTCTGTTCATTTAAACCACTTCAATTCTCCGTTTAGGTCCAACGTCCAGGAAAAGGGTTTAAAGACTTACAGCCATTGGCCATTTAGAGAACATTCATCAGGAAGCAAACCATGTTTATCTGCAAAAAGCGTGACGGAGATAAATAGTTTCTAACATAAAAATACTGACATATTTATTTTTCCTTATATCTTACTAGTATTGGTTGGGTCAATACGCAGCCAAGTGTACTGTTATTGCAGGCATAACATTTCGCTAAGCTTTCCACAGTTTCTGTTCATTTTGGCGTGTGAAAATTTCAAGATTTAAGAACCTATGTAAATAAATCCACTATCTGAAATCTAACGATACTCTTAGACAAAGCAATGCTAAAAATTCTTATTTGATTCTAAGTCACTGTTAAAAGGTTACATGGGTTTACAGGTTCCAAAAATTCGAATTTCTTAGAATATTGTTCTAAATTTTCAAATTGATCGGAGTAATAGTTTCAGAGATACAACCTTGAGAACTTGTGCGCTCGAGGCTAGCTAGGCTAAGTCGGTTGGCAAGATTTCTCGAGAACTACTCAAATGATCTTCATGAAATTTTACACAGGGCGTTGAGATACAATCCTTAAAGACTTGGATAAACGAATAAGTAGTATATTGGGAAAAAAAAAATTCCGAAATTTTTTACTGAAACTTTAATTTTTTTATTTGAGTTTAAAATATTTTTTTCAAAAATTTCTTTGTTAATAGTGTATGTTTGTAACAATAAAATATGTATTTTTTATATGAGAAAAAATTTGTTGAAGAGGCTGTTTCTTACCCACATGGGTTTCATGCAACTCTTTAAACAAAACTAATTCTAAGCCTGGTTTCCTAGATGAATTTGACTGGCGTATAATTGATATTTTTTCACAAATTACGTCTGTATTTAGCAAATAATTTCAGATAAACGATTTCAGTAAGCAAATAGCTTCAGCAAATAATTTAAAAAACTCACCTTTCTTTGCATCTTGCGGCTCCTTTACAGCTTCCTTAACATCGGCTTTGGAGGATGTGACGGTAACTGCCGAGTGCAAAAGCAAACACAGGCCGATGATGAAGTATTGTTTTTGAAATACCATTTTAATTACTCGTAAAAGTATTTGAATGAAATGAAAAGTCACAAGTAACAAGCGGGAGCAGAGCTAATTCGCACCCCGAAGATAAAATGTTGTACGAATTTTCGTCTTTCTGTTATTTAATTTTCTCTTTGTGGTTATTTCAGTTTTTATTGCAGAAAAATTTAAATTTATGCTTGTTTTAACTAAAAAACAATAGGAAATAATATTTCAGACAACACTCAACGCCAATAAACTGCTTAAGCAACAGCGGCTACAGACTCAAGTAAATATAAATAATTAAATAAAAAAAAAAAAAAAACAAAAAACACAAGCGACCGCAGGTGAAAATTGGAGAAATTTCACTTTTGTAAACGGGAAAAGTTTACGCAGCAGAAATTAACATGATCGTGACGCCGCTGAAATGCCAGCATCTACGTTTTCTTTGTTTTTGAGCAAGTTATTCACAGCGCTGTGGCAGCTGGCGGCTGGGGACTGGTTGTTGCTTTAATTTTTGTTTTTGTGCATTGAGTTTTGTTTTGTTTTGTGTGTGTGCGCGCGTGTTGACTCCAATATGCGATTTGACGTGTGTGGGGTCAGTGTTGCGGCCAACGCACTGTTATGCCATTGACTAACGGTATAGCTAGTAGAAAACGAGAGAGAGAAAAAAGTGCGGCGGCGGTGGCTACTGTGCGCCAAACCAATAATTACGCGCAGGAAAAGTCGGTTTCATAGCTGTTGGCTACGCTCGAGTTTCATATTTGGTTTCTTATTCATGTGTTTCTACTGCGCATGCATAATTTTGTTGTAATTTTGAAGTTATTAATATAAATTTTATATAATTTTTTTTTTCATAAAAATTTCAAATGGAATTAGCAAAATCGTAAGCGCGTTTCGTAATTCAGGCAGTCAGTCAAACAGAAGCCACATAAAAAATGCAGAGGAAAATATGCACAAAAAGTGCAGAAATAAAGCAAAAATAAACTAAAAATAAACTAGAAAAACGAGCTTCGATAAAAAATAAGTAAATAGTGGCGTGTAAAAATTATGAAAACCGACACTTTTCGCGGCTTTGCAAACTATTAGAGCAGAAACTTATCGAATTCAATGCGATCGCGTGCAAACTGGAATGCAAAATAAAAATTAACAAAAAGAAAAACAAAAACCAAATTAAAAAAAGTTATTAATTGAGAAGGTAACACTGCAAAAAGTAGTAGCAAATAAATTAAGGAAAAAATATTTTTTATTTTTCTACATTTTATAAATAAAATGAGATAACTTGTTTTCGAACCAGCTGTTGTGATTAATTAAACAAATTAAATTATCTTTGAAAGCGTTATGAGTTTTCCGCACTTTTTATAAGTCCTTTTTTCTCATATTTATTAATTATTTGATATTGCTTTCTTTTTGCCTTTTAAACTGTTTGTTTTGCTATTTTTTGAATTGTTTATTTTGCTTTCGTGCGCGCTTTATTGCGTTGTATTTATTAATATATTCCTGCACACGGAAATTAATAATTTTGTCTTGCTACATAACGGCAATGCACTTGCAACATTATTCATGAATAAACGTTAAAATATGAACTTTTATGCAAACACATGCAGACACATTTCCGTCGACACCAGTTTTTTGTTTTGTCACTCATTTGATCACTAGATTTCAGATTTATATTGCGTTTCTGCAAAGATCAACGATCAACGAACACCGATCACCGATCACCGAACAAAGATCAACACTAATCGCACTTTAATTGCCGATCAATCACTTGTTACTATTTTTCATTTAATTTTTTTTTATTTTGCTTTTACAAAAGGTGATTGCTTCGTTTTCTCACAAGTCAGTTATATTTGTAGCGATCGTGCCACATTAGTAACAGCACACAGCACTTTCGATTTTCGACGCTGAAGCGCGCTCGAGTCAACAACTTTGCCAAAACACTTATTTCGAAGCGTTGAAACAACGGCGACTGCAACACTCACTCACAAATGACGGTGATGATACTATAATGGCTGACTGTTGCCGATGAAAGTCGCCGTTGCGCTGTGATTTATCTCACTGCAGCTGCAACGAGCGCAACATATGCATGCTCGAGTATTCACAGTTAGACGCATGTGCTGCAGCGACAGTGCCGAAATTCGTGCTCACGACTTTTCCCTTCAAAAGACACGTTTTTAAAGCGAAATAGCTGACATGTTGTCGAAGCGTGAGGGAAAACTAATATTCATATTATAACGGTATATATGTATTTCTCATTGAGGCATCATTAAGTATTGTCAACGACTTTTCACAGTTTTTCTTTTGTAAACAAATGTTTAACTTTACTTGCTTTCCACTTTTCAAACACACATCTTTCTGCGACAAGTCAGCAAGCTGCAACACCGTTTTCAATTAAGTGTACTAGCGCAAAATCGCATTAAGCATGTTACGCCAACAATTTACCTCTCGAATACAATGAACGCGTACGCTCTTCACGAACGCCCAACACCGTTTGTTCGCTGCTCCATTAAGGTTGCAGTGTTTTAAGCAGCTTGCTAAATCTATTGGCCGGGCTGTGCTCAAATGTGTGCTCCAACTCTCTCTCTCTCTCGATCAAATCGAAATGAACGATCTGGCGAGCGGATGAATTGGCTGATAGCAATCGGTGGCTCCGGTTTTTATGAATGAAAATGAACAGCGCACTTTAGCATATGTGGGGTTGTATTTAGTGTGTGTACCGTGGTTTTTGTTTACAATGCCTTTCGTGGTACACCTGGCACGCTCGATCAGCTGTTTCGAACCGGTAGTTTTAGTAAGTGACCGCTCGATCGCTCGTATCTGCCTGCCTACGAGCCAATTCTCGTATGGGTTTTTGTTTAAGCGAAACTTACGGATTTCAACGAATGAAAGAGCACGTGGTGGTCATTCGTAATTGCTTGCTTTAGCCATTCTTTACTGACAAGAAATCTCGGATAAAACAGTAAACTAGTTTGTAGCTTTTTTGCTTTTGGTTTACAAGAACTCGACCAGGTTTTAATACTAAAGTAAGCCAGGAGTGGTGTGGTTCTTGTTAACGAAAGTTAGCAACCTTTGTTAGCGTAAAAAACTAACCCGGTAACTAAGTAAGGAAGTGCTAAGTAGAGGTATAGCTATCATTGTATATACTCGCAAGTTGCGTAGCGGCTGAGCTTAAATTTCAAAGTGAAGTTGCAAATGAAAATGAAATTACAATTATAATTGCTTTCATATTAACTTATTAACTTTTATTCATACATATGTTGACCTAATCTCATTGCTACATATTGCTTCTTGTCCGAGATATTTACTCGTATGTTAAAATAAATTAATCTAACACAAATTACTATAATTATTAGTTTAGATGTCATATATTTTTTTTTATTAACAGGAAGTGAAAGGAATGATGATGAGGTAGGAAGTATTCCTTGTATTCTCTGTATGTGTGACTTCTAATGCGCATCCGACTCCCCTACTCCCCTGTCATGGCAGTAAGTTGTTACCTGTCACTAGACTAACAATCTTTCTGCAATCTTTTCGAGATCGTGTGAATAAACTGTACATCTTCTTTGTGATCCTGCAGGTCCTTAAGTCTTTTCATCTAACTCAGATCCGTCTGTCAGCCCTTTTCGTTTTTAACGACTTGCGTGTTTCTTGAACCGGTTCCTTGCACTCAATATATATGCAGCCGCTTTCCTGCAGTCATTGTATCTATTCCTTCCCAGCTTCTAAGGCTAAGCTTACAACGGAGGATAAAACGATAAATATTCATCTCCCTCAGAATCTTTGAGGAAGCTTAAGTAACGCTAACTTAATTTTCATTAACTGAAATTTTCATAATATATCGATATACTTACATACATACATATATATTTATTGGTGCTTGATTTATATATTGTGAGATAAAAAATTGAGACGTGTGTTATAAAATCTTTTAGTCGGATTATGCCAATTTGGGAACTGTGACAGGATGCCAAGACAATACCGTGTACAATGTAATGTATATGGGTGCAATTGGCCGAGTCGTTGTTTAGATACAATATTTCATCTGAAGCGAAACTCAACCACGCCCTTTGTCCAAATTTTACAGAGTTAAAGGGGAGCCTGATTTAGAAGCTTCAAAAAATCGATTTTTTTTTTTTTTTTTTTGCTTAAATCTCTTTAGAAATAATCTAAGAATATGTACCCAATGTTTTAGATGGGATTTGAAATATTTTCGAAGCTAGAAGGAAATAGTGACCGAACGTGTAGCAGATATGTATTATATATGAGCGATTGGGCAGAAAGCGAAAACTTTGACGCGTGATTTCTTGGTTTTTAATCTTTACGATTTTACTTAATTGGCGGGCATGATAGAAAAAAGCTAAACGTCGTATCGAATCGGGGTAAAGTTTATTAGTTTTGGCATTAAATTATCTTCCATTCAAACTAAACAAAAAATCAAGAAAAGTACAATTTTTTTGTCTAATCACTACTTTTTAAATTTTAATTAAAAAAAAAAATATGAATCTTTTTGAATTTTTTGTTTCCGATAGAAATTGCGAAATGCATCCTGTCTGCCGTAAGACAAATGCACATGTGAGATTCTTCAGGCAATTGCTTTCCAAAGGCAGAGTATCAAAGATTGATAATCCAAAAAATTTGTGAATGATGTTTAATTATATAACTATAAACCCTAGAAATTTTGCTGTAATCACTTATTTCTTTCCCTCCGAAAAAAAATTCTCAAAAAGATCAATTTTTGTGAAGCCTCTAAACCAGGCTCTTCCCTTAAGCAATTTTCACACTTTATGTGCAAATGCGAAAAACACATTTGCTTTCAGCAAATAACTAAAGTACGTTGGAATGTATATTTAAAGTTATAAGGGTCAGGGCCCCGACCATTTTTAAAAGATATTTAAACCGTAGTTGTTACTCTCTTCTGTGACTTGGCGTACGAAATTTATAATTTGTGACTAACTTACACCACTTTGAAAGTTTCGAAAAAACAATATTTTGTGGTCATGACAAAAGCCAGATTTCATTCGGGCAGCATTACCAAAACGTCAGAGTGTTCAGATATTCGTGTATCTTGTTTCTTGAGGGTATATAAACTTTAACTCAAGTTGTCATATTGTTCGTACGGACAAGGGGTCGGACTGGCAAACAGATATTTGACATCAAAGGCTCAAGTATTAGTAAATATTAATAAGTAGATCATCGCCAGTGATGCAAAAGTAATTCTCAACGTCCATTCCAGAGATTTAATAGATATGGCTTCAAACAAATGGCACGATAAGTACAATATTTCTTAATAACCTTGCGACCTTGGGAAGTACACTACTGTAAAGATTAAAACAACAAATTGAAGTAAAAGTTATTATATTGAAATACTTATAGGTATAAAGCATTGACAATCTTTGCTTAGATTATTGCGTTAATGTAGCTTTTAATTAATATTTCTTGAGGCAAAACGATAATCTATTAGAGGTATAATTTTATCCAGAAGAAGATTGCTTCTAATAGGTCAATTGAAGACTGCCTGCCGTAATCCCACCAAAGTAAAACAAATTTTTTTGGCAAAATCCATTTTTTTTTATTCAACATAGTTCCTTCAAGGGTGATACACTGATCACGGCGAACCTACAACTTTTCGAAAATATTGTTGTAGTACTATTTGTCCTATGCTTTAAAATAGGCCTCAGTTTCGTCGAGGTGATCCTTCATGCAACGAAAATTTTTTCCCAGTGGGCATTCTTTTGAGATTTTGGAGCGGGTTCATCTTTTACAGTAAAATAATTAAACCACGTCACATATCTACCGAAGAAAGCTGTGTTTATTGCAAGTAAATATCTTTAAACACTGTTCCGAATCATCAACTCGTCGTCGTTTTTAGTCAAAAGTGAGCTTTCGCGGCGTTTTACGGTCATCCAAAATTATTTTGTGGACTTGTTTGATTTTTTCGTTGGTAACAACTTCTTTTACGCCGTCTTTGGTGCTCATTTCAGCACAATTAAGGATTGGCATACCAGTTTTTGATGGCTGATATATCTAGGGCAATCACCAAAAACTCGTCTTCCAGCCAAGTTTCTGTATCAACTGTATTTTTACGGATTTAACGCTAGTCGCGTCATCTATGTGTCAGGCCAGGGGGTTTTCATATGACTTGTTATGGGATCTTATGATATTAAAGACTGTAATCAAATTGAAGTCATTAGGAATAACAACCAGATTGTTCAACCCCCTTTAAAAGTTAGTAGCACAATGTGTTCACTATTTAAAAGAAAAATTATTGTTAAAGCAATTTATCAAACATAAATTTGTCACAAATGTAATTTGGCAGCGACAATAAGCGTTTGAATTCCATGTAAGCACTCAACTGAGAACCAATTGTTTATGACAATCTGTCAAATTGCAATGGAATACTCAAGGTTGTTAACGAAACATTTACGCAGACGCAGCCAAACATACATATGCACATAGGCTTTGTACAAAAAACCACAGAAAGTAAAGTCTAGAGAAATTCGATGAATTACAAGATGTGATAGTATGTAGTAGATGTGTGTAATTTTTCAGCAGCTTCAGCTTTTCTCGTTTTTACTATTTTATACAACATTTTTTTGTTTGGTCTACTATGGTAGTATAAGTATGTACGTGCTATACTGTATTAATTATATGGAAAGATAAAAAGTTAATTACAACAGCAAATCTTCTGAAATTCCATTAAAGCATGTAATCTAATTTCAATATCGTAATTGATTGAACTGCTCTACTGAACCATATTCATAAAACTGCTTTATGTGCCATTAATGTTTACTATTTAAATCGCACATGCATGTATACATATATGATAGATATTCATAAATAACATTATATGAGTACTATTATATCACGGCTCAGCTAGTTGTTAGTCATGCCTCACAGTCAATCAGATTTTCTTAGATATGGCAGTGGCGAATTCAAAGCACGAGTAGTCACAATTAATTCAATAGCCTATCAACCCAAATTCTTTTACGGGACACATCTAAAATATTCAATCTAATTATCTAGGTATCTAATTATACTTATAACTATATTGGTCAGTTTTCGACGTTTTCAGTTTGGAGATTTATTTCTGTGCTGCTACTTGTCGATACCTATTAAAAAGAAGAAGAAAATTACTCTCGCAAAAATTCTATAAAATATATACTACTATGATCAAATTTAAAGTTGAATATTTCATCCATTTCATTTACTTCAAAGTAATCCCCTCTCGCTGCAATACACTTATGCCAACAAATTTTCCAGTGATCTTAGAACTTGGAAAAATCCTCCGTCGTGAGGGCCATCAGAGCATTCTTCGATTCAGCTTTTATATCCCCAATTGAATCAAAACGGTGTCCTTGGAGTGGTCATGTGAATTCTCTGAATAGCCAGATGTTACACGAAGGTAAATCAGGCGAAGGCGGTGGTTGCGACACAATATTAGTTGGAAATGAGACGAAATGATTACGAATAACCAATGC